AATTGATACATATAGTTTGATTATCAGTATCAGAATTTGATAATAAGCAGTTCCTGTATTATCCCAGTTTAGTTTCCCTTAAGGTAGTTCACCCATGTGATGGGTTCAAAAAATGAAGAAAAAAAAAATTGTTTTCATAAATTGCTTCCTTAACATGTCTAGAGTACAGTGGTGTAGTGACTTTTTAAAATTCAAAGTCATTATAAAGAAGCAGGTGTTAAAACAACAACTATTCAGATCACTAAGTTTAGATTTTTATTTTTTTTTAATCAGACTTTAAACCTGTTTTTCAAATTTTCCTCCATCACATCTCAAGAATGGTTTGACTGAATGACTTCAAATTTATAGGGTAGACTCAGCACATATATATGCACCAAATGGACTATGACCATTCAAAATATTTCTATTTTTTATTACAAAAAACATTACAACCCCCTCCCCTCCCCTATGAAATTCGAAACTTATTCTTCAGAGTCTACCAGGATCCAATTTTTGATATTTTCAGTTGAGTTTAGTCCATTCTGTGCATTTAAGTTTATAGATAGAAACGTCGTTAATTTGTTTTATTTCATATAAGCCAATCAGCCGGAATCGTGGAGGAAGTGAGCATCTATTTTTTCGAGGCGGGTGTGTTCAGAGCACTATAACTCACATTCTGTTACAAATTTTTGTCTGAACATTTATATGCATACTCTTGAAATGCATATAAATAAATGATAAAAAACTGAAAGTTCAATCTTTTTACTGGTGATAAAAAAAATTCTCTAAGAATGCTTAAAAAACAGGCCGTCACATGGGAGAACCCCTGAAAGGAAAAATTTTTACATTGAAAAGATTTAGTATTCCTATACAAACTATTATTTTTTTAGAGTAGCATTAAGAAATTGGATTATTAATTCTCATATATTATGCTTTGCAATCACTACAGTTAAATGATCATGGTTGCAAATTTATAACAGGTGTTATTTTATTTATTTATTAATACTGATGCTGCCAGGTCCCATCATGTAGAAGGGTCAATGCATGTTAAGTATTTCAAGGGCCAAAGTCCTCATTGCTGTGATGAAGAAGTTTGGAGGGTGTGGTACCTGCCATTTGTCATCCTTGTCACTTAACCACAGTTCAAAATAACAAGTTATGCCATCAGTTGCACTGATGTAGTTTTATATTGCAACATTAACTAGCAATCATCATTATTTATATATTAAGAAATGTGTTCACAATTTCAAATATTATTTTTTCAATACTAAATTCATTTCACATCTTGTTTTTATTTTTAAGAATATTTAGGTGTGTTATTAAAAATATATATATTTATTAAATTTTAGGGCATTTTTGAGTAAAAAACATTAACATTTTAAGCATTATTGAAAAACAAAGCATTGAAACTATACATTCAAAAAGTGCTTCATTTTTCAACAATCGAGAGTATTTTCCCAATCAGTGTTTTTGGTCTTAATTTGGAAAATAAAGTAATTATGTTTTGAATGTGAGAATTTTAAATATTATAGAATTTTTTCATATGCTTATTAATATATATGTTGGTATTTGTGCAAATCCCCATATATATTTTGCAACTTACTTATAAAGTATTTTATTTCCAAACTAATCTTTAATTATTGTAATATTAAGAAATGCTTTATTAGAACATAATTACACTATATGTTTAGAATTTGCTTCAATGCAGTTAATTTTATATTAGGAATTAGAACAGTTTTTTATTTTCTATAATGTGTCATCAATCAACCTAGTTATAATTTTGAAAACATATAAATAATGGTTAAATATATTTAGTTCGAATCATTGTCATTTTTTTAAAATATAAAACATATGAGCATTTAAACAACAAGCACTCAGACATAATAAGAAATGTAAAGTATCTTGCAAGAAAAATGTAGGCTACTTTTACATTTTTGTTGCTATCTCGTCCCTTGGTTTATGAACAAGAAAGAGAAATATCTCTATTGTGTGAATAATCATCACTGATTATATTTGTTAAACTTCCCTTCCCTGCATGCTGAAAACAATATTTTAAAAGAAAAAATAACATTATTTCAAGACATTATCCAAGACATCCTTTCATATGTACTGCTCAAGCTGTCATTTCAATTTATAGGATACAGTTAAGAATTCATTCTATTTTTGATGAAAAATTCAGAAACTAAAAATTGTATAAAGTACTATATGTTGAGAATAAATTTTAATGGAAAAAATATACAATTGTTGAAATGACCATTTTAAAATTTAATGTCCATTCTATAGATTATATAAAATCAATATTAAAGACTAATTTTTTTTAATAGTCAGTCCAATAACTGTCATTAAATGGATTATGTTAAATGTTATAGAAGAGTTATTTTTTGACTAATCTAATATGTCATTTGAAAAGTCTTGTTAAGATTGAACTATTTTAACATTTTCTCGTGGTTAGATGTGCAAATCCAACCATGAAATTTTTACATTTTATTATTTCTCTAAACATTCTTTGTTGATGATTTTTTCATGTGTTAAAGTCCTTTCTAAGAGAAGTCAATAATCTAGTTTATTAAATTATTTGCAATTGTTTTATTGTATTATGGAACAATTGTTAATAATTATTTTTACTTATTGATAATTAAGATGGGAAAGCAGCAAGAGATGCAAACATCTAAGCAAATTGATATTGCTTTTGTCTGGCTTGAAATATTTTTTCAGAAGTAGGCTTTTATTTTATTTTAAAATTTCTGAATGTTGTTATATTGATTAGATTAATAAAAAGTAATTTAACTGCAGCATAATTGTTTTTTAGGTTTTTAAATAGTAAAAGAAATAAGCATCAATGTTTCTTTAAAGAGAGAAAATTTATTAAATGACATACAACCATATAAAGATGATAAAGGTGGATATATAAAATATCATCAACCTAATTTGTTTTTATAACAATTAATGTATTTCATTTATTACTTTATAAATATGAAGTAACCAATTTTCTATTTTTTACATATTTCAGTGAAAAGATAAATATATTGTGAACAAAAAGATCAAAATCTTTAAAAAAGTAATTTAATTAGTATAATTTGTTCATCTACATTCGCTTCAAGGCTGCATTTGTTGCTTTTATTTTTCAGAAATCTGAACAGTGTAGTTTTTAATATATTTTCAAAAATTGCAATTCTATTTTCCAAAACTAGAGAGTTTTCAAGAAAACATTTTATTTCATCCATTTTTTTAAAAAAATTTTGGTTGTTTTTAACATGAAATAGTAATAAAAAGTTTATATTATTATTTCCATGGGCAGTTTTTGGTGAAAAAAAATTTACAATTTTAAGTGATAAACTGACACCTGATAGCGTTTGTTTTAAAATGGCTTATAAATTATTGCTGTGAAATTTGCTTTTGTCTCTAGTGGCATCTTCACTGTCTTCTCTTTTTTTTTAATGTGAAGAACTTTTTGTTGTCCATAAGTTTCTGAAAAAGTAGAATTATTATTTTATTTAAAAAATAGGAAAATTTGCTAGTACAGTAAGACCCCGCTTAACGCTGTTTTGGTTTAACGCTCTTTTTTTTAAAAAAATTGTGGGATTCCTTGAAATTGCACGCAGCGTTAGGCTTCCCGATATCCGAAGCCGTTTATCTGTGTTTCATCTTCTCTGTGGTGTTATACGAACGTATTTTTATCGTTTCAAACATTTGTTGACGTTATTGTAAGAATAAATTTAGATAATACAAAGATTTCTATAGAGACAAATATTAGTATTTTTAGTTTTTATCATGGGTGATAATAAAAGCAACGAAAATAATGTTATAAGAAAAAGCATTTCACTAGAAACTAAAATGCAAGTGATTAGAAGGTTAAATACTGGTGAGCGTCCATCTCACATTGGTGCTGCATTGAATTTGGCAAATTCAACACAACAAGGACCATTCTTAAGAATAAAGAAAAAATAGTGCTATCGGCAACTGCGACAAGCTCTGCAACTAGAATTGCTCGTTCTAAAAAATATTACAGTGTATGAAATGGATATTAGACTTTCTAAATGCATTGACGACGAAATTGAACGCAATATGCCTTTAAGTCAATCTACCTTGGTGAAAAGGCAGAAAATTGGAAATACAGAAGAGACTGAATGATCTGAAATGTAAACATACTGACTTAGAATTTTATTTATTTTTATATGTATATTCGTTTATTATGTTTTCTATATTTGTAAGAAATATATTTTTATTTTATTGTTATAAAAACATAATTAATGAATTTTTAATGGCAAAATAACTGACCAATTTTCCCCTAACCCCATTATTTACATGATGAGATAACCTCGTTCAACGCTGTTTCATATTACGCTCTACTTCGATGGAACGTGTACCCCGCGCTAAGCGGGGTCTTACTGTATATTACGATTATTTCTGTAAATTAAAAATATATAATTCATGCTGATCTTAAAATAGTTGTTTGATAAAGTTATGGTTACCTTAAATAATCTTTAATTAAATTGAGAAAAACTTACCTATTAAAAATGAAGAGAACTGCAATCACTACAAGGACTAGACCTATAAATATACAACCTGCCAAAACTGTTACTGCTAGATTTGGGTTCAACCGAAGTTCATTTTCTAAAAATATAAAATCGCATGTTATGTTCTGATTTATATGTAGCGCTAAGAAAAATAAATTCTAAAAATATTAACCTCTGAAGATTTTATTTTTTAGATAACAAAACAGTAATAATAACCAGTAAAATATAAAAAGAATTTTTTTTTAAGTCAATTCCTAGTTAGATCAACAAAGAAACATTTTATTTTAGTTACTTTTTATTAGATAACTACAATTAGTATTAATATGTATATACATATGTGTGTGACAGAATCCCAATATTACGTGGCAAAATAGAAAGCGATTTTCCTTTCTATATATGGTGTTGGACTATTATTTTTGTTTCTTACTATTCATTGATTAATTAAATTTGATTATTCCAACAAAATAGTATAGCAAAAAGAAATTTCATTCTTAGAAATTAGGCCATCCCAGGTGGAATTCGAACCCATGACCTTTGGATTAGAAGTCCAACATGCTATTATCCATTGCACTACAGGGACACAACGAGCGATTTTCCTTTTTATATAGAGTGTTGGACTATTATTTTTATTTGTTACTATGTATTCTTTTAATTAAATGGATTTAATGAAATAAAACATTTGAAAAAACTGTATTAACATCAAGTATCACCCACTACAAGTTTTAAAAAAATGTATTTGATCTTGAGTGGATAAATAAAAAGTATTTTATTAACGATTGAAAATTTGAGCAAGATATATATAGGGAGAGTGTGAACTAATAGTAGGGGAAAATTGTGTGAAAAATAATATATTAATATATTTTTTCTTTTGGTTATTTTAAATCTCATTTTTTATTTCCACACATTACTTATTTATTTCATATTTAAAAATATTGTTGCGTTTTCGGGGGTTCGAAATGATTGAAGCCGAAGAGCGGGATCCAAAACAATTTTATTCTTGGCCAAAACAGTCCTCCACAAATTGTAGAACAGTTCGAGAGAGTCACGTACAATCGATGAAAATACTGATAACACAGATGTAATACACTAACAAAAGCAATAGTAAACACTCAGAGCACAAAAATAATAACTCAATAAAAGCAATAGCACACGCACTATGCAATCGTCTCTCTCTCTCTCAAGCACAGAGAGGTATCACTTGCATGAAAGCTGAGATCTGACTGACTGACTAGCCGGCCCGGGCCTTTTTATACCTTTCGGTCAGAAACCTCTTGCACTTGCCAGAATAATCGAGAAATAGAAAGGTCTAGCAAAATCCGAAACGTACGAGAAAAGCTCAATACAGTAATACATTCGATACAATAGTGTTACAATACCGCGATAGGGTTGCCAGACAGGGTTATTAGGAGCAGGGTTGCCATGGTCGACAAGCTTATCGCCAAATTTGGCGCCAAAAATTTTATCGCCAACTTGGCGCTAGCTGCAATATTTGGCGAGTTTACCATTTAAACCAATGTTAAAGCATGGGGGCCGTGCAATGCAGTGGAAATGATATTACAGGTAAACAGGGTTGAAATCCACATTAGATACGACAAATTAAACTGTAAAAATGAACACAAATGAGTAGAAACAATTAGAATAAGACTAAATTCGTAACATTGCCCCCCTCTCAAGAACTGCACGTCCCGGGCAGTACAACCCTTCATCAGACGTTAACATAATAATAAAGCAATTGATTAAAAACAACTAAATGAATATGCAATAATAAACATGTAATACATAGTACAAAATAAACACCTAATGCATAGTACAAAATAAACACTTACAAAACAATAAACAAAATTATTTACAAGATTATTTACACACTAACTTATTTATACAAGACCATGGTCAAAATAAATTACACGATAATTGACACACTAAGAATTATGGCCATAATATGGAGCAAGCCTGTCGTAATGAACGACTCTAGGCTTCGAATTCGTTGACTTACGGATCCGGATTACGACGTCGCTTATTATCTTTAAAATTGTATAAGGACCGTCCCAATGCGATTGTAGCTTAGAGAAAGTCCTTTGCGTCCAGTCGGGTTGTAGAACCATACCTTGTCACCTTCCTTGAATTGATGTCCTGTGGCTTTTGTGTCGTACCGAGTCTTCATCTTCTCCGTCCTCAGGTTGATCCGTTCTCGAGCCAAATTGTGTACATCTTCAAAACGTGCCTGGAGATTCTGCACGTACTCCTCAGGCGATGAAGGTGTATCCGGAGGGCGACCAAACAGCAGGTCACAAGGGAGACGAAGATCCCGGTCAAAAAGCATCTGGGATGGTGAATATCCGGTAGTCTCGTGAACGGCGCTGCGGTACGCTAGCAGAAAGAGAGGAACTTTCTGGTCCCAGTCTAGTTGGTTCTTGGAGACCATCAGTGAGAGGTTATTCAGGATGGTACGATTAAACCTCTCCACCATGCCATCTGACTGTGGGTGCAAAGGTGTGGTCTTGGTCTTGTCAATTCCGAGTAGTTCACAGACCCCCTTCAATACCGCAGAGACGAAATTTCTTCCCTGATCGGAATGAAGTTGAAGAGGTACCCCATATCTCGATATCCAGTGCTGCACTACAGCCTCCGCTACGGTGGGGGCTTCCTGATCCGGAATGGGGGTACACTTCGGGCCATTTCGTGAAGTAGTCCATGACAACAAGTAGGTACTTATTACCAGACGCAGTCCTTGGCAGAGGTCCCAGGATATCGAAAGCGATACGTTCGAAGGGTGCTCCAACATTGTAGCGATGCAGCTTCCCTCGGCTGCGTATCTTTGGCCCCTTCCGAGCTGAACAGGCATCACAGGACTTGCACCACTGTTCCTCGTCAGCTCTCACTTTACCCCAGAAGAATCGCTCTCGAACTCGGTGCAAAGTTTTCATGACGCCGAAATGACCTCCTGTTGGGATGCCATGCAATTCTTTGAGTACCTCTGGGATACGAGATCGAGGAAGTACTAATTGCCACCTGAATGTCTTTCCATCCTCTGATTCGAATTTTCGGTATAGAACACCATTCCTGAGATGTGGAGAATTCCAGAGGGCCCAATACTGCTTAGTTGTAGGACTATAAGCCGAGATGTCCTGCCAACTTGGTTTATTACTGGAAGACTCCATAAACTCTATAAGGGGTTTAATATCAGGATCCGCCATCTGGTCTTCTCGAACTTTCTCGTCACTCCAGGGATCGGGTGGCGTCGCTGTTGAAGTTGTTATCTGGCGTATAGCATAGTCATATTTGGTCTCTACTCTGGAACAATGACGACAATTTTCTGGGCATGGTCTTCTTGAAAGGGCATCAGCATTTCCATGCGAGGAGCCTTTACGATGTCTGATGTCAAAAAGTAATACTCGTTGAGCCGTTGTATCCATCTGGCTACCTGGCCTTCAGTATTTCTAAAATTCATTAGCCAGGTTAAAGAGGCATGATCGGTACGTAGAAGAAATATTTGGCCATAGAGATAGTGATGGAAATGCTCGATGGCTTTCACAATAGCCAGTAGCTCTTTTCGAGTGACACAATAATTTCTTTCCGGTTTCGATAAACACTTACTCCAATAAGCTACGACTCGTTCCTGGCCATATATTTCCTGAGATAATACTGCTCCGACACTCTCATTACTGGCATCAGTGTCCAAGATAAATGGCTTGTCCGGTTGTGGATATATTAAGATCGGTGAAGACGTCAAAGCTTCTTTAAGCTGGAGGAAGGAATCTTCACATTCTTTTGTCCACTGAAACTTTTGTTTACTCTCTGTTAGCTTGTGCAAGGGTCTTGCGATGTTAGAGAACCCTTTCACAAACTTTCGGTAATAAGTACATAGTCCCAGGAAGCTTCGCAGCTCACGGAGGTTTTCAGGGCGTTTCCAATTCTTTACGGCGGACACTTTTTCGGGGTCGGTACGAACACCTTCTGCAGAGATGATGTGTCCCAGATAATTGACTTCTTTCTGGAAGAACTTGCATTTCGAAGGGTTTAGCTTCAAGTTAGCGTCCCTTAATTTTGATAACACCTTCCGGATATTTTGAAGATTTTCTTCAAACGTACGCCCTCCTATTATGACGTCATCCAGGTAAATAAGGCAAGCTTCAAAAGTCAGACCCTTTAGCACGGTCTCCATCAGGAGCTCGAAAGTAGCTGGCGCATTGCAGAGCCTGAATGGCATGACCTTGAACTGCCATAGTCCTTGGCCGGAAGTGAATGCTGTTTTTTCTCTATCTTCGGGATGGATCTCCACTTGCCAGTATCCGCTCTTTAAATCTAAAGTCGAGAACCATTTATGACCGGAAAGGGTATCCAGGGTGTCATCTATCCTTGGAAGAGGGTAGCTGTCCTTGGTGACGTCGTTAAGTTTTCGATAGTCCACACAAAATCTTGTGGAGCCATCTTTCTTACGAACCAAGACGATTGGAGATGCCCACGGACTCGAAGACGGTTCTATGATGTCATTTTCCTGCATCTCTCGTAGTAGTGTTCTGATCTCTTCCTGTTTAGCAAACGGCAAGCGTCTTGGGTGCTGTTTAATCGGCGGATGGTCTGCTGTATCAATTCTGTGTTGTGTCACTGTAGTATGGCCAATATCGCTACTGTTTCTAGAAAACACGTCTTCAAATTCTTGGAACAGTCTTTCTGCGGAGCTTTTCTGTTCGGGGGACAATTCAGCATTTTCTAGAAGGTCGGGAGTCAACTGTTGAGGCAAGTTGGATAGGAGCAAGCTCGAACTTTTGCAGACACACGTTACTGGACTGCAGGTTGCCAACACTTCACCTTTCTGGAACACTCTAGGTTTTTCAGTTACGTTGCAAATTCTTACCGGGATAGTTTTTCTGGAAAGGTCCACTAGCGTCGAAGCTATTAGCAATCCATTCGCTTTATTTTCCGCAGATCCAATTAGGCCAGAGTTGAAACTCACATCGTTACCGATGTATCCAGGCACTATGATTTCAGTCCTTGGGGGAATGGTAATATTCTCGTTAGCGGTTACCTGTCGAATAGATTCTGTCCGGTGTTCAATTTTGAATATAGTGACTTCTTCGTGTATGGAACGTAATTCGTTCTTGTTGAAGTCTAGAGTGAAACCATGCTCCTTTAGAAAGTCCAGTCCAAGAATGAAAGGGTCTGCAATATCTGCGACATACACAGCATGTTGGTAGGTAGTGTCTCCAAACTTGATCTTGACTTTTAATTTTCCGTGAATATCAATCTTTTCCCCCGTCACGGTCTGTAGCACCACGCGGGGCGGGGTCCAGATAAGTTTCTCTTTTAACTTTTGAGCCATATCGTTCCGAATGATAGACACATTGGCTCCTGTATCGATGATCATGTTGCAGGGAAGCTCGTTAACACATGTCCCATTATAAAAATTCCATTCTCACCGGTACTCTTTGTCGAAATTTGACACACTTGAAAGTGGGGCTTTCCAAAATCTGGCAACCTCCGCCCCACGAGATGGCCATTAATTAGCTTTTCCGACACCTCCTTCCGGGAGGCGCTATTAGTTTCAGCGCCTTGGCGTGCCCGGCAGCATCTCTGCAGATG